TCGTCTAAAAGAGGCCTTAGGCCTCATGCACGCTACGTATAAAAATGTTGAGTTCAGGTGCGTTTGGAGCTTATTTCTAAACGCACCTGGACTCATATAATGCTTTTCTATGACTGAATGCACACCTAGGCGTCCAGCAGCGTCTAGGTGCCTTCAGTCTAGGTCAGTTTACCCCAAATAGAAATTTCTGGGTTCCAGGTCCGACTAGCCCAGTATTATACGGCTAGACACATGTAAACGCGTATAAACGCGACTAAGCCCAACACAGAATAAAGTAATCTGGGAAGCATAAAGTTGTTTTTTACGTACCAGATAACTTATGTTGGGCATAAACGCAGCCTGCTAGTGTGCATGGGGCCTTACAATGCATCAAGGGGTAGATTAACAGCATTCTTTTTTTTGGGGGGGAGACTTAATTTAAAAAAATGATATATATAATGCAGTCAGTCAGCGACACTAACACAGCAGTTTTAGATTTTCTGAGCCCCCCTTATAACACAGCTTTATAACCTGTAGATATGTTATTTTCCACTTCCAGTGACAGGCCAAGCTGTCAAGCAAAAGTGACATTATCTGCCAAAGTTGCAAATTTTTTTGATTGTTCCGCAGTGGTTATGGTTTTATGATTTGCGAAGTTGTACATATTTGACTTGATATAGAATCATTTCTTCACTGAGGCACTGTCGCAGGACATGTTGTGCTATGAATATAGCGTACCCTACTAGTACCTGTATATGACCATGCATTATTCCTATTACTTTATTATTCATACTGATGTGTATTTTACATAAATGAATATGATCTGTATGTTTCACGGTTCCATGGATGTCACTTTATTATTACAATGCCGTTTTACAAAAAACACTTTCTTGATTGAAAAAAAAGTGACAGTTACAGAGGATGGGATAAACCATTTAACACTGCTGGGGGTGTTTATAATGGTCAGCTTTTGTTCATATGGCTGAAACTAAAATATACTTTTTGCTACAACTGCTTTAAAAAAGTGTTAGCTGGAGTTGGGCTTCAATTTAAAACTCCCAGGGTCATAGGGTGACACCGCTGTGATTTTGCTGAACCAACAGTGTTGTCACCCTGGTACAGGAAGTGGTAAAATAACAGATCTACTGGCAGGATCAACAGATAATGAAACTATATTACAGGGGAGCTCAAAAAACAAAACCCGCTGTCTTAATTCCACTGACAGACTGCAATATAGGTGTCATTTTCATTTAATTTAATAGTACAGGAGTTTGAGCTTAACATCTCCCTGGCAAGATAAACCAAAACCTGTATAACTAAATAGATAAAAGGACAAAGCCTACCTTCCCTGTTTAACAGCATATTGTTTGCTCCAAAACTATGGCGGCATTTTAACCTATTACTTACAAGAGAGGAGGGGGGTCCTAGTATAATCGTATCTGGGTCTGATTAAGGGCCGGTGCACACCTAGGCGACACCTCACCTCACGGATTGCCACGCGGTCAGGAGTCGCCAAGGTGTGAACCGATCGCGCTGTGGGTGCCCTTATTTTCTAATGGCACCCCAGTCGAGCCGGGTGGATTGCGCGGTTTACCGCTAAAACAGCCGTGCGTCGTGTATCGCAAAAAAAAAAGGTACATTCACATTTTTTCTGTGATTGCGCGGCTGTCACCCCTTTGACATCGTGACCGATCCCAGGACGTGCGTGATCCCAGGATGTGTGACCCAGATCGCGGAGGTCTGCACCAGGCCTTAAGGGGGTCCACATTTTTATATTTAAAAAATTGTACATAGAAATTAGGAATTAAGTGGAGGGCGATGGGAACAGACTTTTATAGCCCCCTTCAAGCCAATCTTTAAACACAACTTTAGCCAAAATGTTTCTTTTTACTCTGTATAAACTTGGGAAGAGTAAATACTTCTGACAAGTTATTTTTTTAATCCATAAGCCCATTGGAGAGATTTCACCCAATTTCCTGTCCCTGTGACAAAACAAAAAATGTGTATGTGTGTGTTGGGGGGGATTGTCACTAGGACAGGAAGATACAGAAAGTAAGAATGACCTGGCAGGTGCTTCATCCCTTCCCTATTTAACTTGAAACACATATCCTGGGGAAATTTACAAATACTTCCTGTCCATACAGGAACCGTATGGCTGGAGTTAGGCATTTAGCTCGTTCTGCAGACCTCTATTTGCAACTCTTTCAGCAGCAGTTGCCAGTCAATATTAGGTTTTGGCCACACTGGGTTAAGTGGTGCCACCAACTACTCCGAGGCAGGCAGCATCAACAAGCAGAGGAGTTTCAGGGAGCAACCTCAATAAGCCACAGGGTATCACTCAGCTCCATGATTCAGTCTTAGTAAAAATTCCACCCAGGTGGAGGTGTCCTCCTTCGCGGTGCCAGTTACCAAGCACCACCTGTGAGGTCTGCCGAACCCCAAACTGTGTGGAGTGGTACCAAACACAATGCCACACTCATTTTTCTCGAGTCAGTAACCAGAAATGTCCTATGTGAGCCAGTTTAAGGCGCACTTGGAAAAAAACAGGCAAGTTATAAGGAATGCAGAGGCATCATAAACCTCCACTAGCGAGGCTGACCTATATTGATCTATGACTGAGATCCCATGCATCTCTAATGCTCAAACGTTCATTCATGTTCTATAACTCCTACTGTAATGGAGTTACCTTTCTAAAAAGTCGTTACCCTATTGTAGAGGATACCACTCAGGTAGACATCAACCATGTCTATATTACAAGGTCGAGAAGGCTAATAAGACACTTTAGACCTCCTAGGAGAAATATACATCAGATGTGTAAGATATTTGGAATCTAACAAATTATCATTTCATTCTGCTAAATGATATGCTGGTTTACGGATTATGAAACCTTGTCATATGGAAGTATAGATATACCCAGGATAAATTGGCAATAAGGGTGGTTTTGCTGAGCAGAGTAAAACACTCCATCACACCTACAACACATCCCTCAGGCCTTTTGATTGGGACAGGGTAGCTCTGCAACACCTTTTCCATGGGAAAGAAAAAGCTGCAGCACTTTTATCATTTAAACTATTAAGTAACATTAAGGAGTATTTTTTAAGGGCCTGTGACTCTTGGCATATCAGACTGGACTTGTCCGTGAGGTGATCTGAACTCTGCACTGTACCAAAAACCAGATGGAAGCCACTTAGATATTTTTTTCACTTTAAACATTGATTGTACTGTTGTCTATGTCTGTTTTTCTAATACCTTTTCTGTAAATATTTTTATCCAAATTATATTTAAAAATCATTAAGCTGAATCTCTGAATGGTAAACTCTGCCTCTTTGAAGACGATATCGTAGTGTATAAACTACGTATGTTACATTCCTGTCTGGGTGTGGCAGCAAGTGATATAAACCTTTTTTTTTTTAAAGTCAGAGTTGTAAAAGTGGATGCTGCAAAAGGTGTGTGTGTGGTGACCATGTGGGTATAAAGGTTAACTGCTCGGTTGGCTAGCCCCAGTCCTAGTCTCTCTCATTATGTTGGTGCTTAGATTGTTATCCTGCAAACTAGAAAATCTCTATACAGGGTGAGGCTCAGAGTGCGTAATCATCACACCACCCACCTCTTCTAATCGTTACCCGCCAGCATACTCAGCCAATTGTTACTTTGCAATCATAAGGGAAATAATGGAAGGATGCTGAGTCTCTTCCCGTGTGTTTGCGGCAGCAGAGGTCAGCAGGGCGAGATCTGAAAAAATATTTATGTAATTTTCTATTAAAGTGTAGGTTTGCTTTTGGTTTCACTTCCTGTCTTTAAGACACAACAGGAAATCTCTACAAAGCAAAGGGAATTCCCATCATAGAGAGGTGTCACCAGAACAGACGTCCCCACTGGAAGATTCCCCTCAGCTCAACTGTAACATTTAGGATTTCCCATCATTTCCCGTCTTGGTGACAGTGGTCACCAGGACAAAGAGAGAGGGAGAATCTCCCAAACGGTGGTAAAGGCCGCAATAAAAACATCAGAGAGGGTCTAACCCATGTGTAGGCAACCTCAGCACTCCAGCAGTGGTCAAACTACAAGTCTCATTAGGAAATACAAACCCCTGACAGCCACATGCATGACTCCCAGAGGAGAAGGCATACTGGGTTTTGTAGTTTCCCCACAGCTGGAGTGCCACATTTGCCTACCCCTGATGTAACCCTTCCCAGCTCCATCCAAAACTAAAAGAAAAAACAACTTTGCCTTTACATACGCTTAAAAATGCAAACTTTTTCATTTCCCACACAGGGTTCACGTTAACTTATCCCTCCCCTGGAGCACATACATACTACACTGCCACCCCATTTAACTGTCAGATTCTCAGAAAAGTCCCATGAAAGCTACAAGTTGAAGGAATTCAATTTTTCATCCTGGAACCTGCTGACCCCTATGAAAAATTCCAGTGCTTAGTTATTACAGAGAGAGAGAGAGGATGTCGCCCAAAAGAGGAACATCCCTTTAAGATTCCATGGCCACTTTAACACAGAATGAAAGCTTGCGGCAGAATAATGTTGAAATCTGTTGAAATAAATGCGCGTACAAACACTCCACATCAGTATATAGTGCAACGGTTTAGAACGCCTCCTACAACGATGGAAGGTGGTTTGGGGTTGCCACAATGAGCCCCAATGGGAGGGATTCTGATGCACAATAATGCGTTCAATCAGTCAACCGTTTCCCTTTTTGTTTCGGCTGATCGTTTTGTCCCACTGGCCAATCAGTACTTTGGGGATGGGTGGGTCATTCCATTGAGCGCCCCCCCAATGTCAAGTTTTTTAGGTCCTTTCCTTTTTTTTTTTGATCAACCTTCAAGAACAAGACAAGTGCTGGTAAGGGAAATATCAAGATGGCCGACCTCGTGTCTCCCTGAGCCAACCCAGTCACTCCTCATGGATTCCAGACTCTTCTGATTTATCAGCTGTGGACAGCCGGGGGTCTCCTTTATGGCGATGTACTCGTGCCCTCATGCGCCGTCCATGCCTCGTAACCAAAGTCCTTTCATGTAGTTCCTTTCCTTTATACACATATAAAAATATATATCTACATATATATATTTACTTTTATACTCTATACATATATATCTGCCTCTGTTTTCGTGCTGGGGAAGGAGATGAGGGCACGCCGGAGCATGGGTGATGAGGGAAAGGGTGGCGGAGGAGCAGCACAGAGAAGCACACGTAGCTCGTGGGTGCTGTGTTATTTGCACACGTACTGGTCTACGATTTCCGTGCATTTCTTGCATTTGACGAAGCAGCACCAGTGGAACTTGCAGTGACAGCGCTCGACCTGCACCGTCTTGAACTGGTCGTAACCCCGTCCGCAGCACATCAGTTCACACCCGTCCATGCCCTCCGAGGTCTTGTTGCAGAGCCGCCCTTGCGTACCCAGGGAACCCGTGCTCTCGTTGCGCAGGCAGTAGTCCGGGCTGGTGTCCAGGTAGACGAGATCGTCCGCAGTGGGAGGGTTAAAGCGCTGGTTGACCTGTTCCAGTTTGCTGCGTTTGTTAAGTCTCATGGTGGCTGCGCTGTCGTATTTCTCCTTCAGGTACTCGCCCACCTTGCGGAAGTCGGCCAACTGAAGCCAACAGGTCTTCAGGCTACAGGAACCCGAAACACCGTGACACTTGCAGGCCACATCTGCCAACTTATACACAGCCTAGGGAAAAGAAAAATGAGAGCGGATTAGGAAAAGGATATAGATTATGCATCATTAAATTTAACAACATAGGTCGATTGTTCAATCTGTACAAAGTGAATGGGGGCTTCTCTTGAAGCTGATGTTTGGTCAAGCAAGAGACACAAAGCACACTGGGAGCGCTGGGAGTTGCTGAAAGTGATAGGCAGATGGAAGGCAGCACTCAGTACATAAAAGGGGTTTTCTCATGTAAGCTTTGATTGCATTATCAAAAACAACTCTAAATGTGTATTCCTATTACCAGGGCTTGAAAAATTTGGCGGTGTCTCACCAGTCAGTCAAAAATGTCAATTATAACAGGATAGTATATGCTGGGACTTTACAACTCATGAGGACCATAAAACAGTGCACAGTAAAAATGGATGCAGTACCCAGTGACATCCTGCAGATGGTGCTATCCGACTTCTAGGGAACACAAACCTTGCTATTTATACACAGTTGGTGTTTGAATGCACAGTTAGTTTTCTAGATAAAATCGAGTTTAATTTTTAATGAAGTTTAAATATGTCAAGGCTGAGTATACATGATTACACACTGTGCAGACACCCCAGAAGACTCTCCTCCCAGAATCTGTGAATGTTAAAGAAGCATGCACAGAGGTCAGCTGACGTGGCATGGCACCCCTACACCTTTAGGAGTTAAAGTCCCAAAGCATTGAAAAGGATAAGTCAAGATCTAAAACGTTAACCTCGCTTTAAAGTAAATGCACAAGTCTGTATGAATAAATTGGATGAGGAGGTCACCAGCACTCACAAATCAAAAGATGTCAGGAAACATGTTCGTAAATTCATCAGATGCGTCAAAGCCAACGTTTTGGGGCCATGCAGGGTCCCTTCCTGAGGGCGACATAATGAGCAAAGGAAGGGACCCCGTGTAGCCCTGAAACGTTGGCTTTGTTTGACGCATGTGACAGTTTAATAAATTTACGACATGTTTCCTGACATCATGTGAGTACTGGTGACCTCCTCATCCATTCCTGAGTACGCTGGGGTCCTCCTCCGAAGAGATAGCACATCAAATCCCTGAATCCCCCCCCGAAGCTCCTGACATGGGCAAGGTAACCTGGCCTACCTAGGCCAAAACCAGACAGACCCCAATCCTTAGGGACCAGCTGAAGCCTTTCCACCAAATACTTGGTGAGGGCTCCTCCAAAAAAAGACCCCTGATGGGGCAAGGCAGAAGATCTGAAAGCCACAGAGCTTATCCCCAGACATCAGGATTGGCCCCAAAAGAACGCAAATTCTCAGTCATATGCTCTGCGACATAATAGTTGATTTGGTATTCAATGTGCCAGGATACGATGTCACAATTCGCATTCCTCAACAACCACTAATGTTGGTATATCTGACCCTATATATAAAAATATAACACACACATATATATATAAAATTCGTGGCAGTGATAGCAGTAAGTGTGCCAAGTTCGGCTAAGAGACTCCTGTCTTGTATGGGGCGAGGACAAGTGTGAAGAAGAATACAAAGCAGTGAATAGAACACTGAGGATCTCTATTTGATAATCGGTGGAAGTGGAAGAACAATGTGAGGATTCGAAGTAAAAGAGAAGAAGAGTCACACAGGGGTTTATTTTCTGCCAACGCCACCTCTGTTCAAAGACACCTCGGTCATTTCCACATTAAAGCCTTGGCTTCCTCATGTAGGAACTCTGCAATTAGGAGTCACGCAGGGGGGTCTTAGATGTGGGTAAAAGGACAGAAGTCAGTTCATTGCCATGAGATCTCACTTCAAATAAAATGGGGATCTGCCTATACAAAGGACTGAGATACGAGAACACTGAAAAGGATGCATCCCTGCATTGCAAGTGATGAGAGTTAAATGAGACTTGTTTATTCCAATCCAGTTCACTCCCTATAGGAGCTCCCAAGGTGCATATTGTGGATAAGTCGCGAGACACTGCAAGAATTTTTGTTTTTGAGTTGATTTTATCTGAAATCTGATATGAATGGGGAACCCCACTTTTTAGTGTTTTTGCGTGGGCTCCCTCATTAAAATCCATAACAGACCTCCATCTCGATAGAAGTAGTGTGGCATAATGGAGAAAAAAAGCGATGACAAATATTTTACAATTAAAATGTAAAATATTCAAAGAGGTTGTAAATGCCCCAGACTCGGCGTCATGTATCGAAGTTTGTTGTACCCACATCACAAGTAATAGAGAGTCCCAAGACATAAACAAAGAAATGTAGGACCATAAAAGCCAGAAGTGGAGGGGGAGAGTAAATAACCCCCCCACCCAGCCAAGACAGGAACATTTGTGCAATGTTGGAGGTGTGATAGTCGGTTTATGACCCCTTTATCCTTTTATTACAGTGAGAGTGTAGGGGGCTCTGGACCCCTAGGTGAGATTGTATTTGTTAGTTGTGTCCCGCTTTATGGCCAGCAGAGGAGATGTGACATTCCTGACCTTGTCACTCCTTGGAACATTTGGTTGCAGCTTGATAAAGTGACAAAGAGGGGCTGAAAAGGACATTACCTAGGACAAATCTGACTTTGCATTTGTGCTACTTAAAACGCTCGCTTTGTAGAGTGTTTGTACAAGATTTTATGCAGAGGAGGACTGTCAGGGCATTGCCGGAGTCTGATATTAAGACAATTTTGAGTACTATCAATGGTTTTCGAATGAAACTATAACATAATTTCATTGGTGTTTTTCAAGGTATCGAGCTTTAAAATCAACTCTGCCGATGATTTAAAAAATCCTGACCCTGCAAAGGAAAACTTTTTATGCCCACCTAAAAGAAATGTGTTTCCAGCACACCAGTAATTTTTTATCCCAAAGAAACGCCTTTGACGTTCAGCAATTTTAGTAAGCAACATTTAGGAACCTCATCATCACTAATTGCCTGATGAAGGTTGCGAAACGTTGCTTCCTAAAACTACTGAATGAACGTGGGGCACAGAACGGAGGTTAATAGACACGGGATTAGACATTACAACATTACAGGAGGACCTGAAGGAAATAGGGGAGTGGGCAACTATATGGCAGATGAGGTTTAATGTCGAAAAATGTAAAGTATTGCACTTTGGGGTTAAAAACAAGCAAGAAGAATACACAATATGCTCCACTAGGGAAGTCAGGAATGGAAAAGATGTGGGGGTCATAGTAGACCACAGATTGAATAATAGCTTGCAATGCCAGGCTACAGCAAACAAAGCGAGCAGAGTACTGTCATGCATTAAAAAGGGAATGTTCTGTAGAGACAAAGCAATCATTTTGCCACTTTATAGATCACTGGTTCGACCTCATCTTGAGTATGCGGTTCAGTTGTGGTCACCAGTCCACAGAAAAGATGTCCTGGAGCTAGAGAGAGTCCAATGAAGAGCAACTAAGCTAATTAAGGGGCTGGAGGATCAAAGCTATGAGACAAGGTTGCTAAATTTAAACCTCTTCACGCTGGAAGTGAGGAGATTAAGAGGAGACATGATTTTCTTGTACAAAATGTTCAGTGTTGATGGCATCATCAGCAATAAACGTTTTACTGTAAACTCCATAACGAGGACTAGAGGCCACCACCTAAAATTGGCGGAGAAAAGATTTATACACAAAGGGCGTAAGTGCTTCTTTTCAGTTAGAGCAGTTCAATTTTGGAACTCTCTGCCACAAGCAGTGGTATCTGCAAAGAATATTGATTAGTTCAAAAATCAATTAGGTACCCCCCTAAGAGACCGTAACATACAGGGGTACAGGTACTCCTAAATACTAGACCACACAGGGACTCCTATACACACGCACACACAACTCACACACAGACACACAAAGGTTGAACTTGATGGATCTGTCTTTTTTTCTACCTCATATACTATGTAACTATGTAACGTCAAAGGCAATTATTTTTTGGATAAAGAATTACTGGTGTGTTGTTGACCCATGTTTTTCCTTGGATTGAATTTGGCACCATCCGCGTGGTACAGCACCCAGGAGATTGGGGTGTATCAATTAGGTGCTCGGTAGGGATATCTGTATGGTTTTATACTCTCCTGTCCAGACACACTTTCCTTTAGATCTTTGCTTTCTTGGAAATGTATGGCCACCAGATGCATCCTCACATTCAGCACACTTCCAATATTACCTGGTCCCCCTCTGTGGGCTGTTGTTCCATCTGTCAGCACCTACATTTCTACTGCATTTTGTAGTGACATAGGGGCCAGCGGATAGAATCACAGTGCATGGGGGTGAGAGAATGAAGGTCTGAAGAACGGGTGGCAAGACAGGTGAGTTTAAAAGGTGATTTTGCAGGATCTGTTTTTTCTTGAATCAGCAATAGAGTTGCTTTAAGCCTGCAGGTTCCAAGAGCTGTGGAACTGAATATCTAAAGCTGGCCATAGGCTGCAGAATTTCGGCCGATTCCTACTGAATTAGCCAAAATTCAAGTCATGGTGACCCTATCAGCAACCCTCTGCTCACCAAAAATCGATTTTTCAATTAACTTTTGTTGAAGGAGATAGTCTGAAAACTTTCTGGTCGAACATAGCCTGCATCCATACTGTATACACCATCTCAAAGGGCTGAATATCCAAATCCGATGACATGCAGGTGCTGATTACACATTCAGCAGCCACTGGAGCTGCTGAATACAATAGCCCAGCAGGGAAGAATCCCCCATCCACGCTAGCCAGGTATAAATGGAGATCAATTGTAAGCTTGACACACATCTATACCCATTAGCCCTTGTTCACACTTTGCCAGGCTTCACAGAAAATCACGTGGCCAGCTTGCGTCGCCATTACTTGTTAATGGCAGCCCAAATGCGGCAGACAAAATGTGCATCTTTGCCAATGGTTTAAAGCATGACAAATGCTCAGTCAAAAAATGCTCCATAAGCTTCTTTGCCACGTTTGTGGCGCATAGGGCGACAGGCTAAAATTCATGCACGCTAAAAGTGTGATGGAGGGCTTAACTAATAGAACACAACTATATATCCCACTGACCATTATTACACCAGTGCTCATAAAACAACAGAAAAACACACACATTCTGCACATGTTCCCCTTGCTAATCTGTGTGTGTAATAAGCAGAACACATTCATTATGTTTTGCTTTTAATATGTGAAAATGTCATTCTGTATGTATGAGGGGTTTCTGTCCGTCCCTCCTCTATATAACACACGGGGCACTTCATGCCTTCCTATTATGTTATGTCAGCTGAACGCTCTGTTGCTGGTTCAGCAGCTGAATTGACTTTGCTAACAAAGCACTTACGCTCTAAAGGAATTTCCTGACAGGTGAAGCATCATCAGCTCAGACCCGAGCGAAAAAACGATCAGCCAAAAGGTGGCCATAAACAGACCAATAACTGCAAGTGACCCTTCCGATTTCAGCCTTTGCTTGGAATTGGTGGTTGATGGGAATTGTTACTGCACAGCAGGGGTGGGCAACTCCAGTGCTCCAACTGTTGTGGAACTACAAGTCCCACGAGGCACTGCAAGGCTGACAGTTACAGGCATGAATCCCAGAGGCAGAGTTTGTAGTTAAAGCACAACTGGAGTGCCAAAGTTGCCCACCCCTGTTGCCCATGGAGAATTTTCGACCTGCTGGATAATCTCCCTGTGTGTGTGGTCCTGATTCTTTGCTGTCAGATAAACAGGTCTAACCAAGTCTTCTTCTCATTCAACTTTGCCCACCCCTGGCTGATGTCACACTTACAGGTGTGGACATTCAACAACAACATCCCTGAATGGATATCACTCCCTTGCTAACCCAGAATGCTGCAAAACCGTAGTGCCTACATAGGGAGCAGCGATGGAGTGACATCTTGCTGGTCCACCCAGCAACTGAGCAATACCATAGAACAGGGGTAGGCAACCTCCGCACTCCAGTTGTTGTGGAACGCCAAGTCCCATGAGGCGTTGAAAGACTCTGATAGCCACAGGCATGACTTCTAGATGCATGATGGGATTTGTAGTTTTAGCACAGCTGGAGTATCGAGGTTGCCTACCTATGGCATAGAAGGTGGTAGGTGGTATAATAAGAACTCGCCAGCAACAAGCTTGAGCGCTAAAGCTAGCCATACACTGGTAACATTTCAGCCATTTTTCACAGGAATCAGCCACACTTCTAACATCGGGTGGCCCTGCCGGCCTGGCAATAATCAATTACTCAAACAACTTTTGTCAAAGGAGCCCGGGCCAAACATTGTTGGCTGAACAGTGGCTGCAGGCAATCAGCAATTTGACAATGGTGGGCGCTGGCTGTCAGAATACAAAAGCCCAGTGGCAACACAAGGGGGGTGCTGCCCGGGTGACACCATTGCAGGGGTGACATCAAAATGATTGACTGTCATTTTGGTGTCATCCCCTCTAAAAAGTTGGGCACTCGGTCATGGACTGAGAGCCCGGCAGTGTCAGGAGAGAGGAGGGGACCCGGCGGCATACCTCATCCCGCAGGTGAACGTCCCCTCCTCCCTCGGCCGACACTCATCACTAAGATGGCCGCCGGCAGGCGTCAATCAGATGGCCACGCATTTGCGATGACGTCATCGCGCATGCGCCAGGTGACGTCACGTTCACGTGTGATGACGACGCGGCCTCAGGATCGCCCCTTCAATAGCCTAGCTGGGGGGATTCCTCCATCTATCATGTTTAGTGTGGATGGAGGAATCTGTTAGATATCTGTTATATTTCTTGCCTGCAAGTCAGCTGAAGACAAATATGCGTGAGCAGCAATACATCTGCTTTTCAGTTCCACTGCCATTTCGATGGCTTTATCTAAATAAAATGTGCAGAGATAAGGAGAAGATTGATGCAAATCCCAAAAATGGCCATTTTTGTGGTAACTCAGCAAACAACATACGGAAGCGTGGTGTTTGACAAAGCAGTGTACAAATACATACAGAATTCAGGGTACAGTCAGTCCAAACCAGGAACCTGTCAGATCTATTAAAGTATTGGAACCCCTGTTGAGTTGTACAGCATTCCAGGGCTACACTAGAGAGAGATTGGTTTGGCCCTGCAAGGTTATAATCATCAGGTGTAATTTGTACTCACCCTGCGGCCCGCCTCGTTGTTTTGCAGGTTCATCAAGGCCCGCGCTTGATCTTCAGACCCTTTTGGGTAATTCTTCTCTCTCTCTCGGGCGTCCACAAACTCCTTGGCAAACCGGTAGCCATAATCCACATTGTCCCCGCAGCCGCCCCACAGCCAGTCTCGGGGCAAGTCCTTGGGACGGGCGGTCCGGCTGCAGCCGCAAGTGGCCAGCTCCCCCTCTCGACAGGCGCGGCTGATGGCGTTCACCACTCCTGCCGCGCTGATGGCGTAGGTAAAGGCGGCCTCTCTGCTACCTGAAAAAGAGGAAAAGAAAAGCAAATGGTGAGTTTCAGGAAAAAAAGAATCTAAACATACAAACATTGTATCAGTTATGACAACAATGCTGCCAGTCAGGGGAATTTGGCCCCTTTAAAGTGTATGCATCCAAAATTTTATTTTAAGTTTAGGATAGCGTGAGAAAGGATTTAAAACTCCTGCCAGTGTTTTTTTTTGCTGTCTGTGTCCCGTTGGGGAGATTTACTGCCACTTCCTGTCCTGAAGATGCAACAGGAAGTGAGAGTAAATCCCTACAAAGTGAGGAGAAATCCCCTCTTAGGCAGTTGTTAGGAAATCCCCTCTTAGGCACCATTGGAAGATTTCCCCTCACTTCATGTTCTGGTGACAAATGTAACATTTTGGATTTCACATCACTTTATTGTATGATGATCACAAGGACAAATAAGAGAGTGTGAACCACTGCAAAGGGGACAGACATGAGAATAAAAACCTTTCCACACTCCACCCAATACTTAAAAAAAGATTTTGGTATACATAAACTTTAACAAAAGATACAATCATGGATAGAAGGTTTATGTGTAAAGGGAATACAACACGTTATTAATCTCAGGTGCCCCACTCAAGTGTCGGCCATATTGAGTGGGGCACGTGAGATTAATAACATGCTGGATTAGTGTGATCCTAGTTCATTTTATTACTTCATTGCTGTGGTGTATGTGTATAGGGCAATGCCTCGGATGGCGCTCGTGCAGAAGAACTTTCTTAGGCAAACCTCTTAGTTCTAACAAAACCGGAAGTCAAGCGGTCCGAGAACTCGATAAGTTGGGACTTTCGATAGAACACCGCCAGAAAAAAAGCCCTGTGTATAGCCGTGGGGAAAGAAGAGAAATAGGGAACATGAATGAAACCTTTAATACGTGAAGGGTGTGAATAAGATTCAGGAGGACATTCATTTCAATATGAAGCTAAGTTTTAGAGCACGGGAATAGGACCTCAAACTAACAGGGGGAATACTAGCCTTGGAAAGTATTATTTATCTTATCCTTTGAGTGCTGGTGATCCTCATTGCTTAACTCTTATATACTGTATGTGTATGCACAGGACAGGCAGCTCTGCTGCAAACTGAGTTTGCCCAAGCCCACACAAAGTGCACCCCAATCCCCCTCCCGGCCCAATCAGTCGCGGTGGGGACATTCCCCGCCCCTTTTTTTACATGTAGCTGCGGGAAAAGGATGCCCTGGCCTCAACTGATCAGGCCAGGAAGGGGATGTGTCACTGAAAGTTGGGCAAACACTCCGTTCACACCAAGCCCATGTATACCACTAATAAGGAGCTATTTGCCCCACATGAGTAGCCATCAATCACTACTAAAACTCCCCCATGTGCTCCCAGTTTAAAGCTGGCATACACATATTAATCTGTAGCTGGCCATACACCTTACAACCATCGCACGACTTTCGTTGTGCAATGGTTGTAAGTTCATTAAAATTTCGTACAACCTGACCATCTTGGACAAGCAGATCGTACTTGCGCTCATCGCAAGCGCTCCCCGCTGAGGGGAGGGCTTGCCAATGATTGCAATGCTGAGCGGGCAGTGTGAGCTTGCGCACCTCGGCCTGTGTGGCTTTCGTCTTCCGAGCACGCTACCAACCCGCCGGAAATCGTAGGATTTTCGGTGGGTTTTCCAGCGTGCTAGGAAGACAAAAGTCGTGCAACCATACAGTAGATGCGGTTGCACGCTGCCCATACACCTGCCGATTATCGTATGATTGCGGGATCACCCGCGATTATCGTACGATAATTGGCAGGTGTATGGGCACCTTATGATTGATCATGAACCAAGAGATTGACAACAAACAATTCATTATTGATTAATGATGCAACAGACAAGGTATTAATCTGCTCTTTGCAATCAACTGATAAAATATATAAAAACACAATCGATTGGTCATAAATGTAAATAATTTATAAGAAGCAATCGTTTAATTGATCTAACTTACGATTGGTTCTTAGCAACTGGGAGCAATCAACAAAATTCTGCCAGTGACTTGGCAGAGTTAAAAACGATCAGTAGCTCCCTGAATCAAATATTTTGTGATTTTTGTTTGATCAGTTTAGTTGCACTGAATGACTGAATATTTATATCTATACATGTGTGGCCACCATAAGCTCAACAGCTCCCTAATGTCAGTTGTGTCCTGCTTTTCTCGCCACCCCCCTAATATTTGTAGTCAGCTTTGTACCTCTAAAATAACAGTAGCCATGCTAGGAATGCTGGGACCAGTAGTGTAGCAAGCCTGCCCTCCTAGAGGCTGTATGATAATTGTATTGATCTGTAGTGTCCACACAGTGGCCAGTATGTAAAACGCAGCAGATATGGATCAGTTTGCACCTCCGGGCATGCAGTGTCTGCATTTCTTGCTGAGTGATGACAGATAAAGTGCTAATTACTTATCACAGGCTGGAGGCATCACAGGTCTTGTAGGCTACCTGTCTGCCCATGTCCACCACTGTCCTCAATGCAGGCTCTCTGCTGCCTACTTGTGGCCACTGTTGGTAAAGCAGCTGTATTGCATTAGGAAAGGTGCCAGTAGTCTGAAAGGGAAAGGCACAGGGCGTGTTGCTGGAGCAGGACAGACTCTGAACATGGACAGATTATATGCAGGAATTTACAGAGAAAGAGATAAGGGATCCTCCTGAGGGGGCACTATGGGTGCAGATCTCATGAAGGGATCCCTCCTCCCTGCCTGTACAATGCAGGAATGTTCAAAGATCAATCACTCAATTTCTGGTATATCCTTC